CAAAAATAATTTCTGGTTGATCGAGTTTCATACGGTGGTGAATACCTGCGCCTTTTAAATAATGCGTCACAATTATTTGCCCCGAAAACAAATTGAAAAGTCGACTATTTTCTTAACCTTTCTGACATCAATCAAATAAAGCACACAAAACAACGGGGTCATATTTTCATTGAAAGACGACCATTTAATTGTTCACCCTCCTGGGAATAAAATGACACGACCAGAAGACACAATTGATAAGAAGTGTACACCCTATTTACATGGTTGAAGACGTGTGCCTTGATACAATATTACTCACAGCTGGCATTCCATTGTATGTGTTAAATCATGACATCTACAATTTGAATGGCGCTGAAAAGGTAAAAGGCTTTACAGTAGGCCAATACACTTTCCCTTCCCTTTGCAGTTCTCACGCGACCGTAGTCTTCAAATGTCAGTACAAATTGTCAGTTCAATACACTCATGCATACCCTTTTCTCCAAGTCTTCAACGCATATCTCACGTTATACATACAAGCCAGCGTGGAGAGTTCGCCGTTTCTTTGCAGTGGTATTGGACTTGATATGGCCGGCGCGACAACCTTTCCTTCAACAAAGCGACAACCCGAAGATTCACCTTTACATCAGCCGACAATGCCCTCTTCTCCGATTGCTATTCTCGCCCTTATCTCGGTCATGTTTCTGGCTTCTGTACACATGCACCCTCAGGGATACTGTTATCTGCCCCATTTCGTCTCTGTCATATACGGACACCCTGAATGTTATATTTCTCGACTTCAGTATCGTCTGATGAGCCAGCTGGAAGGGGAGATGCAAACAGGGTTATCGCCCCACATCTACCCACCAGCCTCCCTTTTTCACTCTGATATTGTGGTATGGTGAGCAATCAATCAGTTCCCCAATGCTTTATCAAGACGAGCAAATAAACCGCCTCGTAGAATGTCTGTGTTGCAATACGGCCACGGAATTCAATAAATATTTGGTACAGGGCCGAAGTATTTGGTTGTACCAAGTTACAAAGTAACAACACCCAAAAATACCTTTTACCGAAACCGAAATTGAATTGGAAATTACATTCAATGTAAGTAAGTGGGTAGAGCATTTGAGACCTTGTTTCTTTCTTAACTGAAACCACAAGGGGGCGCACTCATTGGGCTTCCATTAACTCTCACGGGTCTAAAAGGCCAGCGGCGTAGCTACGGGGGGTGGGCGCGCACGCCCCGCATAAAACAAAGTCGTGCCCCTCAAGGGGCCTCAAGAGAAGCCTTCACAGTCCACCAAAATGGAACCACTGTAAAATTTCGTTTCACACTCATAAATACGTGAGACAGTTTACCCTTTCCAATTGGTCGGGAAATTTTTGGACCCACTTTTCGGTGAACAAAAAAAACCTGTTCCCCCCCCCCCTCCCCCCCCCCCCCCCCCCAAAAGTTGTTTATGGATCCGGCCTTGTTTCAAACCGCCGGTAAAACACCGCTGCGTTCTGCGCCACTAGGCTGAGTACGCGCCGCCCGCCCACCAAGTTCAATATACGTGTATGGTGCCCGCCAAGTTCAATATACATGTATGGTGACTTTTAACACCACGCGCGCGCGGCACATACCATAGACATGGCCACAGGGTTGTTTCACAAAACATGGAGTAAAATTGTTGAGCAAAATCGTTGGAAATTAGTGAACCGGAAGGTACTTATGATTTGCCGAAGGCGAGGGATATTATCGTCAACCGGCCAAGCACATTATATATTCCTTTATTATAAAGTGTGGTATTCCTGAACTTATATTGATCCTCTCACAAAGTCGGTAGCCCGAAACCTCCTGAATCCGAACCTGAGTCGAAGTTGAGGTTCGGAAAATCCGACAAGTAACCCCCCCCCCCAAAAAAAGTTTAGGTCTGACTTCATTTCTAAAATGCCAACATTACTGCCATAGCAAGGACCCATACTGTCCATGTGATTGTCCTTTACGTTTTACAAAAAAAATATGTTGCACCGCCGCGTAGGGTTAAAACTGAGATAAAGTGACGACATTAATAACGTGTATACATTAACCAATAAAATACAAGTATTTAAAAAAATACATATTAATGTTGTGTGGCCTTCTATAGATGTGTTTATCAACACTCGGTTCATATCACAGACAAATGCAATCAATGGTATCACACAACAGGTTCATATTAATGCCCAACGATTTTTCTTCACATCATACAATTAAAATTTAAAAGCAATAATTTATAACAAAAGGAATTAATTAATTATTTTCAGTTGAAACTTCAGCATAATAAATTGCGCAAGATTAACTAATGCTTGTCATGAATGGATGGACTCTCAACCCTGTTTCGCATCCTTATTGCGAATAAAAATTCTTAGTTCTACCAAGTACAACCATTTACTTACTTAAACAAAAGCAAGACTCCTCTTAGTTGAATATTGCCACTTGCGTTTACGCTCAGTCGAGGATTGGATCAAATAAATTAGAAAACCTGAGCTATATATTCGGGACACAAGCTCAACCAAGTGGTATTAGAACTGTCAACCCTATCATTATTATGTTCTTCCAGGGTCCAAAAAAGGATCATCACCACTTCACTACTTCGTTTCCCACAAAATCAGCCATCTCTCAAAAAAAATGTGGCAATTTCAAAACGATCAGTGTAAGGTTTCAGGGCCGATCGCAATTCTCAGCACGATTACTACCTCCAGCCGAGATTGCTTATTAACATATATCTATATACAAAGATGTGGGTTAGCAAACTGAGTTCTGATATTTTTCTGCAACAACGTCATCAACTACAAGAGGTTGTTTTGCGGCCGCCGCTTTGACTGGCATGGGTGGCCGGGCAAATTACATTATAAAGTCTAAGGCTTATGTTCTTCCTGCTTTTAATTTTAAAACAATGATACAGTAAACAGGAAACGAGTGAGTTTCATACATCAGAAGGCGCATATGAAGCCACTAACGTATTAGTGATGGGTGAAATACATTTAGAAGAAAGCCTACAGCTTCAAATGCGATACACAAACATTCAAGTGTGTGCTCCTCTAGGGAGTGATCGTAACTGAAGTTGGTGGAAGTGGGCAAATTAGGGTAGCATAAGTAGGTCATATCGCCTAGAGATCTTGGGTAGGCTGCAAGACAGAGGACTCAACACCACACACATATCCACCAATACTTGACATGCATAACTTGCCCGGTGTTTGATGATATACAGTAATCAAGTGGTGCGTGCAGCCACTTCAGATTCTCCCGGCCCATCATAAAGTCGTTATCGTATCATATGCAAATACTTGCCGTCCATGTAAAAAAAATCTTACCATTTCTCTCTATGTAACTACTTGTACAAGTTCAAAAAAATAGGCCTACAAGATGAATCCATACGATTAAAATTGTTCCTCTGAAGGTGGTAATGTTATTCATTAAAACAAGATTATTTATGGTGCCTTATTACTTTGTAGATTAGACACCTGCCCTGGTAATTATCAAACTCATTTGATCAACCCAATTATTTATTTGTGTGTTAGGGTTACTGTTCATGGATTAAGATATAAAAGATAGAATAGGGGGAAACATGATCACTGCAGAACCGTGTATCTATCCATGTATGGTTTTACGGACGATCCATATTGGATTCTGCGAGGCAGCAAACGTAAGTTTGGAACTTTTGACGTGTGTGGAATACCTTCCGCCGTCTTGGTATACTCCAGCTTTTGCATAATTAACCCCAGGCATACAAACACAGACGCCAGAAGTTATTTAAAATATTGTCCTTTTTTGCACTCCAGCATCTCGGTCTTTGGCGGGCTAAAAATATTCACCTAAGCCACCAAGGGGTTTTTAGGCCGCTATCTTCCAGTTGTGTTCCATCTTCTTGGCACAACTTGTCCGTGTAAGTGCACACGAATGACTCCCCTTTAATGGATGAAGCAATATAAGTATGGAAACGACCGCGTGACAGTGGCAAGACGTGCAGCAGATGGTGAAGGGTGAAATAGGATATCGATATTGAACTTCAAATCAAAGATAGGCATGGGAAAAGAAATCCGAATAACCATTATTAGTATATCAGACCCTGGCAATTTCCCGATCGGCTCCTGTATTAACTTGTTGGTCAAGGAACTTTCAAGGAATTTCATCATTCTGTGCGACGACCATTGCAGTCGATACGTCGAATGTATCACTGAGATCCATCACAAATTATACTCGCAATATTGTAAGCAGAGTGGACAGTTTTAACGTCACGGTCAAAGACTATACAATATATTTTGATATACTTTGTATCAAATTTCACTGACATGAATGTACAGTTCACTGTTATTTCTGTCATCATATCCTGGTTTTCAGTATTTACATCAATCTATAATCTTTGACCTTTTGCAGGCACAACAGCAATGAGTTCCTGGATCCCACGCACGTCGTACGGTGTGAAGTTGAACACGAGGAATCGCGTGGGATTTTCTTTACTTTTTAATTTGATGCACAAACACACCTGCTCACTTAATTGAAATGGGAGATCATCTCCAGAATGTTCTTTTGAATGGATGACTCCTACTATCATAGGAGAGAGTCAGGCTAGCATGGGGTACTGTAGGTGAACGACCCAACCCATGCCCTCTGAAAATCTTTTTTGTATACGCTGCTACCTACACTACCGCAGTCCGTGTGTCTGTCCGTTTTTACATTCGTTGGGGTGTCCCGAGTCCGTCATACAGTCTGTCATTTTCCTTTTCATTTATTACCTCCGCCAAGGAGGTTATGTTTTCATCGGATTTGGTTAATTGGTTGTTTGGTTTGTCTGTTAACAAGATAACTCAAAAAGTTATGGACGGATCTGCATGAAAAAAAAAATCAGGGGTGGTCCTTGGTACAAGTACAAATCTATTAGATTTTGGAAGTAATCCGGATCTGGGTCTGGATCGAGGATTTTTTTAAAGGATTCTTCACCATTTATGCGAGTATTTCTTTTGGGTGTACTGACAATATGGCGGGGAATTGTTTAGCCTTGGCGGAGGTTTGTGCTCTCTGAGTGCTTTCTAGTTTCCATTTGTCATTAACACCAGTCAGATTTAATGATAATTACTATAATAAAATAAAATACATGAACCAAGCAAAATTTTACTGACTAAAAAGTCAAAATGCGTGAACGGAAAAGTGGCCTCTCCCCTCTCCCTTCCGATGCCTCATGTCCACCGTCTTTAATAAAATATGCCGAGAGCTCTCATGTACGCTCTGAAGCTGCAAATCGCTTCAAATTCACAAAATAACTTGTGGACTTTTTCAGTCTTTCAGAAGTCGACTCTTCCCCGAGGCCAATATTCAGAATCAAGCGCCGATTTCAACGCCAAAGGAATGCCCTCTCGAGACTGTCTTCATTTTTATTTCCCTCCTGACATGTATTGATTCTGCACGCGCCAGATAATCACCCTCCTATTACTTTTAAGTTGTTGCAATTTGACAGGACCCCCTGAAGCCATGGACCTGCCACAAACGGGAAAATCCGAGCGTCAGGCTGGGGATCATGTCCCCCCACTTCAGTCCACACGGATGTTTCACGTCGTAAACAAGAATGCCAAAAGCACTTGTGAAATGGACTTGTTAATAACTCACTTCTGAAAATTCAGTGATTTGGACGACTTGAGAACAAAAGGAATAAAAGGAATGAACGTCAGACAAGTCATACGAGCTAGTCCCACCTTCCAATAACGGAAGTCAGACAGACCGATATCTCTGCGAAACAAACATCGTCTATCAACTAGGAGTGTATTTTGAAGGACTCCAGATGACAACTTCAGCTTTAAGACGTTGAAGATTGTCCTTACAAACAAATCCCCATGGCGTTTCATTCTCTTTAGGCTGTGCCTGCTACTTATCATCCCTTTCAAAATCCCCTGTTTGTTTAAATTCCCTGTGTCCGGATCTGCACGGCCTGAAAAAATAACAGCGAGATCTAGTGTAACTATGACTTTGACGCATTTCTGAGAACTTTTTCCGTCACCCAATTAACTTATTGGATTTCGCGATTTAGGTATGAGGCTTGGATACCTGTCAAATCATCCACAAACTCCAGGCGATAACACCTATATTTGGCTGGTTTTTAGGACTGAGTGTGAAAGATCTCAGATCTCTTGTTGTTCAAGGGATCTGGCTCTGAGATGGGCATGTGTCAAATTACCAAAGTAGGGCTGTCGTAGGTGGTCGTCTGCTCAGGTCAACGGGGAAATTCAAGTGCCTGGATTATTAACTCTGGTGAACTCTGGTGAACACCACACATTTAAAAATGTGTAGGTAGGCCAACATGTATAAGGTCAGCCACAGAAGGAATATCTTTCTTTTCATTCATAATATATATGGGGGGAAAACATTTGTGAGCAGATGGTTTATGTAACTCGCCCTTTGTACGTATATTTTCTAGTTCTAAACGGAGGACTCTTCCCTAGTGATGACCTTTGACACGCGAGATGTCGAGGGGCCCGTCGTACTCGTTGTCCTCGCCCGCCCGTCCGTGAACCTGCAGCATGGCCGGAAAACTTTCTTGAAGTACTTTTTAAAACTGGTCGTCGTAAAGGCGTAGACGAATGGGTTGACACAGCTGTTGCTGTAGGCGAGACACAGAGCCACGAATTCTATCGAGACCATCAGCGGGTAGTGCTCGAAGCGTAACCGGTTGTAGTTGCCGTAGTCGAAAGTCTGCCACATCCGGAGGACTTGCGCGGGCGCCCAGCAAATGGCAAAGAGCAGCACCACCACAAAGACCATGCGGGTGATCTTGCGCTTGCGTCGTACGGACCGCTCCTGTGCGTGCGCGCTCTCTGTGCCCCTTGCCGTCCGGGTCCAGACTTGTAGGAGAATGCTGATGTAGCACATGAGGTTGATGGAGAGAGGCAGCAAGTACATGGTCAACGTGGCGAATGTATGGAACACTCTCTCGGCCAGTATGGAAGAGAACACCGTCTCGCACATGCTGTGGTGAGTAATTCTCGAGAAGATGGCGATAGGGCAGTGAATCAAGAACGAAGCTGCAAAGAAAACGACAGGGAAAGAAACATATTAAAAGTTATTAGAAATTTGTAAACTTTAATGTGGAGATTACGTGTCGTGCTCAAAAGATTACGTTACACCATTTAGATTTTCGTTTTTTGCAACAAACAGAAATAAAATTAAATTAAAGCAAATTTATCCAGGTGATGCTTTCCCAAAACTTTAAATTCCCGTGTGGCTGATTCATTTCTTCCTTTTTTAACAATCTATTCTTCAGTTCGAAGGGTGCGATGTACGACGTATGATGCTGTGCTTAAGCTGAATAGGGTAAAATTATCACTGGATAGGCACAAATAATATAATGGGCGGTAATGAGATTTTCATTGGACTTAATGAAGGACATTGTAACATATGCCGTAAATGACGAGGTTGATGACCCATCTGCCCTGAGAAAGGCGTCTGTAACTACGAGAGATAGTGACGCACAGTACGGTCTGTCCGTCACCGGTGGTTATTCACCAAGCCAATTTACCCCAGCTCATTAAACTCCTGTTGCGTTTCCATGACAACCAAGCTGTAGGATTTTGGTCACAGATTGTGGTTGCACTGGTTTGTCCCTTGTACCTTGGTTTCATTTGGTTGCAAAAAATATACTACATTTCATTTGCAAAAAATACATTAAAATTTTCCGTTCGATAATCTCAAAAACGGAAGTTGTTCCGTGTTTTCTTGGACACAAAACTACTGATAATTATTTTTAGTGTGGCATACCGCCATTTAAGATACGTGATCTGTTATTATTTCATCTTTTCTTCCATGAACACGAAATCCGTGTTACGAAATCGTTTGCGAGTATTATTCAACATTTGAATGTGGAAAAGGTACTGGTATCTGAACTTGCTCGATTGGGTTAAATGTTGATGTACTATCTTGCTGAAAGACTGAAATGCAAATAAGATCTGTTCTATAACGTCATGATTAAAGGGGTTTCAAAATCCCAGCGGGACATGAACATTTGGTAAGTCATCTCCACGCGTCCGTGTACGTGAACGGACAGGTAAAGGGCAAGGTTGAATACACGAAGCTGAGTCCGGGCTTTGCCTGAGGTCTCTTGTAGATTTCATTGAAAAAGATTTAGTTATTACAGGATGTTTGTCCGTCATGGCATTTACAAGTAGCGCATATCTATCCTTTAATTAGAGACAAAATGGCATTATCTTCAATATTATTTGCCATTCTTGTATTCATTTACCATCTTATATTTTGCACAAGATGAGCCCGACGATCACTTTTTCAACATGCTGTTCACTAAATGAACTGACTCCACCCGAACTAAAGTTTTTATGAACGGATATAGCATGTTGTGATAACGTGGATTAACATGCAGTAGATATCTGATCGTTGTACATGTGCATTGTGTACAGCTAATCAATTGTCAATGTGTTGGCTAGCCATTTTGGCCAAAATGTTCTCTTTGAGATGCAGTTGTCGCAATTTATTGAGCGCTTTGTATACCAAGGAAGGTGCGCCCTCTACAGAGCTAAGTCAGACAGGATTCCTGTCCATCAAAATCTTCTGATCCATCATAATGCGCATGCGTTAGTTGTCTTGTTCAAGAAACAATTTTCGGACAATTTGTTCTTACTCCTAATCAACGAAAAGGTAAAAATGTATCGGATTAAGTTCAAATACAAGCAAATAATTCTCCCCGGCTCATTACGCGACAGCTTCAGTTTGATCAGCAAGAAAAAGTTAATTTTATTAATTTTGAAAACAAACACGGTTTTAACGCATGCGTGTAACGGTAAAAGACTGAAGGAGAATGCATAATGCAATCATCACACGCTGTTTTTTACCTGCCCAAATGGACGCGTTGACAACGAGGACCTTGGTGGTGGTTCGGCTCTTTCTAGATCGCACGGCATGAACGATAAGATTGTATCTGTCCACTGACATTGCTGTCAATGTGCAACATGTTGCCTGCACCGTCACCTGAAAACAAGAAAAGGAAAACAATATTTAAGGTAAACAGAAATATCCACCATGCTTTGGCAAACAAAAAGGTGTGAGTACGAAAGGTATGAACAAGAGCAGATCCAGGGGGCCAACGGGGGCCATGCCCCCCCCCCCCCAAAAAAAGAACCCAATTTTTGTTTTTGTTTTGGAAGTGAAAACAAAATGGTCAAAGTGGTCAGAAATTGCATCAGATCGCACCACAGAGCATCTCGAATCCAAAAAAAATTCGGGGCCCTTAAGCGGGCCTCGGACCCCACGCCGTTTTTTTTTGGAACCCACTTTTTGGGGGACACAATTTTTGTTCCCCCCCCAAAAAAAAGAAAATTGTGTTCTGGATCCGCCCTTGGTTATGAAGAAGTAATACGTGTGCGTTTTATGACATCAGAACTATTTCTAGAACTTTTGGCACAGCTACATACTCTGTAACTTCCAAAGAATGAGACAAGGGAGTAGGGACTAGACGATGCACGGTGATAAACGCTCTTATTTTAGATAGAAATATTCTGAAAAACAATTAACCAAGTAGAAACTCGAGTGGAAACTCACGCTAAAACGTCTGGTCTCCAGTTTCAGTAGGTAGCAATTAATTTTCATTCTTTGGAAATGAGACAGTATTGTCAAATTCTGTTTTCTCCAAAACTCTCACGAAAGGTGACTCTCATTCCGTAATATAGGCAATTGAAGAAAATACATTGTAACTCAAGATAAGGGCGAGGCTCGGGGTGATTTTCGGACACTATGATCAGCCCCGTAATTATGGAAAAGACCTACATAACCGCAACAAAACAGCATTAACTCAGAGAATGATACGACAATTTCTGAGCCAACAAATAATGGTTTGGCTCGTAGATGGGCATACCCTTAAATAAAAAAGGTGAGTGAGCTGGGCATCAGCAGAGCATGATAACTTTGTGACCTCCAATGAGCCGATGATTATTCGGCTGCAAGACAGATGGGGACACCATATATCTCAACTAGGCCAGGCCTGAAAACTTAAGCAGGTTAAATGGACTGTGCTTGGCAAGGTTGGATTTCTCGTGGCCTCAGGAACTCCTTCCATGTGAGATGTCCTGCTTGGTTGTGACGCGCCTTGACTGCAAAGCCCCAGCGTTAATAACAAAATCATTAACACCTCTCTCCTGTCTATTTTGTTCATCCTGCCAAGAATGCCACAAGACTTTGTACAGTGGATTACCAGTAGGCCTATACAATATATGCGCTACAGTATATACCTTGAAGTCTATATATAGACATAGACTCGATGTCTATAGATTTGAAGTCCATATATATGTGTCTCTTGACCGACGTTCTTTCAAGACGAGCACACCTGTTCATTCAATCCAAATTCAATGAAACTTTTCCCATTAAACTACCCATGAGATCCATAACAGTCTGTGCACATAGCAAACCTTTATCGCACCATTGAAAAGCCGGTTGATGAAAGACAAAAACCAACAAGTGATATTGATCAACATATAGATTTAAATTTGCCAAATGAAGTGTTACTGTGAATATCACTGAAGAATGCTTGACAATGAACACGCCTGCCTTAGATTTGGAGCCTTATAGAAAGAATACAAATCTCAACTTGTTTTGAACCTCCAGTGGCGCTAGAACTAGAATATTGCAAAAAAAACGTGTGGGCGATAGGTATTTATAAAGCTTTGTTTTCAACCGTATCCTATGTCTGCTTGTATATTTGTTTCGTATCCTCCTTCATTCTTGTACTTCCTTCCTCCTTCGTTGACTATCCCTTTTGCCCAGACCTTTCACCCCATCTCCCTATCGAACCTTCATTGCGGTTTCATCAAAATATGATGGTGAAATCGACCCTCGCATAGTACTTTCGTTGCAAGCCATTCAGGCCATCCGTATTCAAATATTTTTTGTCTGAGAACTGGAAAATAACACGAGTGAAAACCTAACTTGCTTGTTTCATTCCCAACGATTTCCGATCAACATGCATGGAATCAGTGGTCACTCCAGTTCTTGCCCGTTTACTCATGAAGCCCAAAATGCAAAGGAAAACACGCATGAAACCAACTACGGTACATTGAAGGATATATAGTGGTTACTCGTGAAAAGAAAATCCGACGGCTAGCACCCTGCAGCGGAAAGCATTCGAGTGAAAGTCTTTAACTCCTGAGGCATGTGTAATTTAAATCACGTCAATTGCATCGTTAAGAGGGGAAAAAATTGTCTGAGCGAAAGGAGATACTAAGGACGACTGAACTTGACCATGTTTTTCTCCCTGCGGCCAGTGGCCAGTTTCAGTGCCATTGAAATTCAAGAGTCTCCGAAAACGAAGCCCATGGAAGGTAAAGTGTGTCTTGGGCCCGGCAAGAACGACAACTTTAGAATGTGGGGCCTCTTTTTTTTCGGGAGAGTGTAGTTTCACTCGCCAAAAGGGGAGCGTCTGCTCGACATTTGGCGCCGTCTTTTCAGTTGCCGTGAGCCAAATGAATGCATAATTCTGTGCACATTTTAGGTCTACCACTGTCAGGAATCACGAATACGAAATTTGACCACTCTGGGATTGTCAGTTTCACTCAATGTTTGGAGAATCATTATGAAATAAGTTAGTCGGTTTGATTTTATTTTGGGATTAAATGCGCGGACTCAATATGGAAAAACCGGCGCCAATTTTATTTGATTATGAAAATGCACAAAAAAGGAAAACCCAGACTCATACAGGGTGAGTCGAAAATGCGGAGCCCAAACCCCAAAATAATATTTCATATTTAAAAAAAAATATGTGGCACCAATCATAATAATGAATGGAAAGCAAATTTTATAAGCTACTTTTAGATGAAAACATTACTGAAATTGCTCAATTCGTTCAAAGAATATCACAATTTTAAACACAATGACCCTAAAACCTCTTTCGTCCAAAAATGCGATTTCAAGAATTGTCGTCACAATTGTCTTGAAACATCAACAACGATAAAACCTCAGTTGAAAAGTTAAAAATATTCAACAAAGTCCTTTTTAAGGCCCGTCTTCAAAAAAGTGGATTTTATAAATCATATTGTTTGCCTAACCAGGGCTGTTGATAAATATATTGTGTAAAACAGTTGTTGACAGTTGTTGAACAAGTATTCTATGTCATTTTCTGTGTTGTTCCAAACAGTCAGAATACACAATCAACTGGGTTTTTTTTTACGAAACAGGTTTTAGGGTCATTGCGTTCAAATAGTGATATTCTTTAAACTGATTGAGCAATTTCAGTATTTTTTCATCTACAAATTGCTTGTGAAATTGGCTTTCCAGTCATTATTATGTTTGGTGCTATATATTTTTTTACATATGAAATATATTTTTGAGGGTTTGGGTTCCCCTTTTTTTTACTCACCCTGCCAAACAATCCGGTTTGATGTGTCAGGTTTTTCAATTCCAGTGATATCAGGGTTTCTGATGACAGTGTAAAAGGTTGGTTATGACTGTGGCCAATTCTCCTCGGTTATGATTCGCTCAGATCAGAGAACTTCGATTTTGTCTAGGGTTATCAACACTATTCCCACTATACCAACCAAAATTTGCTGTTACGTGCTGTATTAGATAATTTTTCTTAACAACGCCTATGGTAAAGATCCGTTGCATTACAGCCATGTTCGAGGTGCGTGCTTTTGTTCTCTAGGGATCCGCGGGAGTAGATCGCTTGTTCATTCTCTGCTACTGAATAAAAAAGACACCTCAAACATGGCTGCTGAGTGCAAACCGTCTATTGGAACGGCAGTAATTTTACTCACGTATTGAATATAATTGATAGCCTTGCAGACGGCGGGTCCCATAGGCAGTATACCGGCCCCGCAGAGTGCGGTAGGCAGCAGACAGATGATAAGCGTGAAGATGTCTGTGATGGCCAGGTTGGCGATGAAATAGTTAGTCACCGTCTGCATGTCTGGGTGGCGGACTATGATAAAGAGCACTGCGGTGTTGCCGATCAGCCCCACAAAGGCCAGAAGGAAGTAGGCACCGGGGAAGAGGACCTGCGTCACGTTGAGAAAGACTATGACGTGGTCGTAGCCGGTGTCGTTTCCCAGGAAGCCCATCGGGGTCGTGCCTCCCGTGTCACCCACGGCTGTGGTGATGTTACCCTCCTGCCACCAGTACGTGACATCGTCGACGTGCGACATCATCTGTGCGCCACAGTTGAGATCTCCAGGAGCAACTACAATTTTATTCTTACTGATGGCTGTTCTTTCCCAAAGTTGTAACTTTTGGAGCTTGGTGAAGCTGCTTTTATTCAACTGAAGACTAGATGCGGCTTTCTGCAGGGCTTAAATGAGAAAAGAAAGAGGAAGCTTACATTTGTTGTTTTTATATCTCATCATCAGCGGAGTGCTGCATTTAATTTAACTGCACGCAATCAGCTTCAAAGATTGGTGACAGCCTATATAATTACTAATTTACCCAATAAATTGCTTCCCTGTGCATTCTGAAGGAGCTACTTATAGGCCTAACTGCTCCTCTCTTGTTAAATATCACACTATTATGAGAACTCCGTCGGAGTAATTACCGGCCGGAGGATACGAGGTGTCCTGCGTGTGTGCACTTCAACAGTCCAATCGTCTGGACACATTTCATATTGGAAAAATCATCGTATTACAAAAAAACTAACTAATGAGAAGCGTTCCTGAATAAATACACCCCAAAAAATACTCAAAGACAGGATATTTGATTACAAGTGCCTTTTAAACGGTGCCATGAAATATTTTTAAGGTTGTATAATTTTGATGTCTTAATATTTGTATGCATGTTATGTGTGTGCTTTTACTATTTTCATGTAATAACCATGAACTTTAGCTTTTAGCTGCGAACTGATTTAAAGGGAATATACATCATTTGCTTTTGCTGTAATTTTCAGAAATGGATGGAATTGGGGGTTGGAAATATATAGCAAATATAGTTACACTGACTTTTTTGAGGTTTTGGGTTCGAAAATGCTATAAAAACCAAGAAAAACAATCATTTTCCTATAATCTGGTTCCCTGACTCCATTTAAGAAGAAACAGAGCAGTTTACATACATTGGGGAATTGTAAGGTCAGGGAACTAGTCTAGCTGGCTTGTACCCGTTCATAGGTGTGTAATCAATTGCAAACAAGTGCGGCCGACAAGCGTTGGAAATTGATACAAAAATACCACTTTTCTTGAAAATGACAGTATACCAGGTGCCATGATTTTACAGGATGCTTTACACTGTCATTCACTAACAGTCCAGCAAGGTATTTCAAAATGATTTGGTAGTTTTATTTTTTGATGTTTGCAAATGTTGTATTTTCCCTTTAATAGATATGAATATGAATACGATATAATATATGTAAAGTAGGCACTGATGAGTTTGGCAGGAGTCAAACCCGAGCAACGGTAAGCATGTCTAGACCTTTTAATATTTTAAACAGGTGGAAAATTAAGACCTTAAATTTTATGCAAAAATAGTGGATTTGAAAAACAATCCTCTTGAGGAAAAACATTAATTATCCCGATATCTAAACCGGGGTAAGGCACAATGACAACCTCCGAAACTACTATAACTAAAAAAAATGCTCGAGCTGATCAGCATAGCATTTCACAACTTTTACGACTCAATTTCAGAAGTCAATATGATACAAGGGTAGTTTTATTTTTTTGCAAAATTTATAATTCTAATGGCGCCCGATTAGGAATTGTTTTTATATATAAATATATGTGTCAGTATGAGTATTTTAATATATGTTAAGTAATTTAATTTAATTTGAAAAATATGGCTAAAACATATTTTAGGAATCTAGTATTCTAGGCTCTCGCAGGGCAGGTTATACATGTCAGTAGATTTTATATTAAAAAAAATTAATGTATGAAAAAAAACATTTCCTGGTAATTTCCTGCAATGCAGTATGAGATCCAGTATGACCGAAATAGACGAGAAAAGCCGTTTTAAAAATAAATTCCCCATGCTGTTTGTGAGTTTCGCCTCGAAAATAAATTTGGGGTTTTTTTTCAACTGCTATTTTTCCTAGCAATCAAAAAATTTATTCACTTTTGAATGAGACATGAAACAAACAACTCCACCGACGTTTACTTATTGAATGAGTTCTTCACAAAATTCAAATTATTGGGGTTTTTTTGCAAAAAAAGGAAAGCCCTTTTTCTTCACAAAATTTGAATAATTGAAAGCCCTTTTTCTTCACAAAATTCGAATTATTGGTTTTTTTGCACAAAATGAAAGCCCTCTTTGAGAGGGTTGCAGACGCCAAAAAATCGGAATAAAGCAGTTTGTTTTCGTTAAAAAAAAGTACAATTGAAAATTGTTTTAGGAAAGTATGGGGTATACATCTTTAAATTAAACCTTTAAGCTTTGAATTGACAATCACAGTAAAACATGCAATCAATTGAAGTTTGCAATATCTTGTGAAAAATAAAATGTCAACTTTAAAATATTAGAACTCAGTAGTCTTCAACAGATTTCAAATGGAAAACGTTTCATGCCGGTAAGTGATTACATTTTAGGATGATGAAAGTGTACTTGCATTCCGCGAAGAGCTTTCTGAATATACTCTAAAAGGTTCCGGGTCGGATTCGGATTCCACGTCGAGTTTGACCCGGATTCCGGGTTGTAAGCCTGTATATGCCCTTTTGCAGTCAAAATGGCACATTTCCAGGCCAAATATACCCGAAAAACAACCCATAATAGTGTCATATTGACTGGGAAAAGTGTCATTTTGACCCGGAAAATTGTCAGGTCAAATATGGCCCTGATTCCGGGTCAAATCTGACTCGCAACGTTATAGAGTGTAGGAATATGATACAGGCTTTTACTCTTAGCGTTATTCCAATTACCTAGAAAATGTGTTTCATCCTCGTCAATTCCATTAGCAATCTTCAAGCTTATTAAACAACCTGAAGCTTTTGCAATCAAATGATGTAATGAACCGCGGAAATTGGAATAAGGCGGGAGCAAAATATCAAAAAGAAAATAGAGTAATGATATACTGCAGGGGTAGTCAAGGGAAAGATAATCTGTATGCGAGTTGGTTTTAGTTTGTTTTTGTTTGAAAGGGAGCGCACATAAAGCGGAGTTACAATTGAGTTTTGACAATTTTGCCGAGTTCCGGAAATATGTAAGAATGTGTTAGCTGTTCAGTTAGACTTGCCAGAGTTTTACAAGAATAACTGTTATATCTAAATCCTAAATCTATCAATTACACATGTGGTGTGTACTTTTGTTTGGAAATATTTTGGTTGTTTTTTTTTCTGGCTAGGGCCGGCCTATTCTGTGGTAAAACAAATAATTTATGCGTTCAATGACGATAGAAAACAGTTATGTGAAGTACTAGACAATGTAATGTGTTGCTTTGTTCCCGTAAGAAATATCAAGACGCGTGAGTCATACTGAAAAAATGGACAGTATTGTTACTGGTACAGGAACGTTGTACGATGGCAATGATGATATGGGCACACCTACCCCCCCCCCCCGAAAAAAAGATAAATAGGAGCTGATTTTTCCCTTATTTAAGTGATTTAAAACTCTCTTTTCTTAATTACACATTTGAAAGGTAATATACAACATGTGCTTTTGGTGTAATTTTCAGAAATTGATAGATTTAGGGTTAGAATTTTGTTTGGCAAGTATCGTTCCACTGAAGTTGCTTACAGTTTTGTGTTCGTGGATGCAGGAAAAAACCGCTGTACTTGTTGTCTGGTTCCCTGACCCGACGCTTCAGACAAAATGGAACAATTTATACACTCAGTAAATTGTCAGGACAGGGATTCAGACTAGTCGGCTTGGACCCCTTGACAGAACATGTTACCGATTTTAAACAAAATGTGGATAAACTATAAAACAAAACCCAAAAAAAATGTCAATTAGAGGCAGTATTTGAATAAAAAGCCACTTTTGTTTTTCCAACGATGGTGGGCAACCATTGTTTGCAATTGATGAAAAGCTTCATTTTTCTTGAAAATGACAGCATACCAGGCGCAATGATTTCACACAATGCTTTATAGACTGTTATTTACTTACAGTCAAGTAAGATATTTCGAAATAATTTGGTAATTTCATTGTTTAATTTTGCAAATGTTGCACATTACCCTTAATGATTTATAAATATTACTTTGAGGCTTTGATTTCACAGGACAAAAGCAGTAGTTGATATAATATCTGGAAATCAGCGAGGAATCTACACAAACCAGAACACGAATAGATCTCGAGTTACCAAACCCAAGCCCACAGAATTGAGGCCCCTGTGTTTAAACTACGGTGCACTGTAAAATAAACAACTAGCTTGATATCCAACCAGAAGGCTGTCAGAAAGATCATACATTCCAGTGACATTCAACGTAAACACCTCGTCATGTCTCGCTACACATAAACCCTAGTTAAATGTCAAGTCATCCATCTATTGCTTAGTACTCCCAAAGTTCGGCATAATAAACACCACACATCAGATAATTGTTTTCGGTACAAGCTATACATTACACATATTCAAGATGATCGGTATAATGGACACATATGTACGTCAAAACACTGATTATTGTCAATATTATGTTAAACATATTCACATTATAGGAGTAATTATAACTTAGGGCACGTTTTTACGCTTTTTGCAATTTATACTTTGATTTAAGTAAGTTAAAAGATACAGACTTCGTGTATTTACGTAGTCATCTAACACATGGTATTTTATCAGTGGTTCTGAAATCAAACTTTAAAAAAAAAGGTAAAAAAAGAGCCAGCAATTTATGCAGTGCGCCTCATCTTTAACGTATCAATGCCTACGGTTTAATGTAAAGGTTTGAAAACTCAAGGTTGTTGAAATCTCTACTCTAATGAACATATTATTCCCTGCACAAAATCAAATGCCTCATTGACAAGCTTTCATTCTCAAGTTTCCATAGTAACTCGCGCCACAATTACACAACTGTTGTGTCATTGACCAAGATGTCCTTCGACAGATTTTTTTCCCCATGTTTTTGGGGTTGTTTTGTTTACGAGGATTGTGCACTGTATATTTTTTCTCTTTTTGGGGGTCAAAATTATGCAGGTAGAATTGCAACAGAGCTCTCCACGCTAAATGTTTAAAGTACGGTATTATTCCAAGACGTTGGTGCCAGAGATTAGTTCATTAATTAAAAAACGCCATCTGCTGAGACTGTCGAAAGTACTACAAAGGTGCTTCATGATCCAGCATAGCGGGTCTCAAGGATAAAAAGAACATCACCAAAGGTTACATTCTGTGTCCCGTTGTCATTATAGCGGGAATCGGTTCGTTAGACAAGTGAAAAGTTTAATT